AAGGGCAGCACAGCCAAGAAAGAATCAATAAATCCATCCAACAGGATGGAAAATACAGGCCAAGGTAGCAAAGCAGCAGGTGTGAGGAGAGTAACTTGTGAGAAGTTGGAGGACTTGAACTGCAGGAACTGAGGCTGGGAATGGCTTTAGGAGCTGAGGACAGGACAAACTGCTCCCAAGGTAAACACCAGATCCTAATGCAAGGATCAAAGTGAAGCTCTGTAATCATTTTACAGCAAGTTCTGAGCACTTGATTTTACATGCATATACATATATTTCTAATCTTTTTTCCCCTGCTCAGCTGAACTGAAAATAGAAAGCAAAATGCTCAAGGCCATTACCTTTGATTCACTCTCTCTGGAAAGCATCTCTAAGGCCTCCAGATGCGAAAGACCCTGAAACTCATCAAACAGTAACCCATAATGGGCTTTCTTCTCAGTAGCCATGGTAACCTCGGTAGCTGTCTGCTGCTCTTCTTTCTCCTTCGCTTCTCTTAAGACCTGAAAAAGAAAAGCAGAGGCCTCGTGACAGTGCCAGGAGATAAAGAATACAGGAGGAGAAGGCTTTTGGCTCAATAGCAAAAAATGGCTGCTTAATGATAGGACCACAAAAGAAGGGAGAAGAGATGAGAGAAACCAATGAGGTGCTGATAGGGAAGTGCTGTACCTGAGATAATGTAGAGGTTCTGTTTATGAGGCCCTTTGTTTTTTTGAATCCAGGGTCTCCCTCAGCTATTACATCCATTGTCTTTTTGCCGATGAATTCCAAGGCATCCAGACCTCCACTAATAACACTTTTACCCTGGGAATCAGATTTGGATAAAGACAGCACATAAAACTCAGAGAAAATTACCCAATGGAAGAAATTGAATTGGGAGGGTTTTATCAGCAATCTTACAGTGTGCACTCACATAAAAGCCAAATTGGTCCCTGTCACCCTAAATTCAACTCTAATCATCACAAAGAGAGCAGCAGGACATGGAAAGAGCCACAACACATTATCACCCAACAGCTTATTACAGCACCCAGACAGCTGCAGCAATCTGATGGGAAATACATTTTTTTAGTTTGTGAACAAGCTGGCTCTCAGCACATTACAGAATTCAGTTCTCATCCTTCCAATGAGAAAACACCGGACCTGTGGATTTTGACCGGTAACTTTTGTTTGAGCCTTAAAAGCAAAAAACAGAAGCCAGCTTTCAATCTGCAGCTCTTTCAGATTCCCAGGCAAATTGACAAGACAGCAGATCACAAAAGCAGTTTCTAAGGGTAATGGCTTCCTTTGAAGTGCATTTCTCCTGGTCACAGGAGCAAGCTGATTTCCAAGCCAACTGAGCTAGTTTCACATCGGTTTTTTGAAGAGGAGAATGAATTTCATCTCTAGTTCTGTGGAAATCAGTGGAAATGCTCCAGGAATGAGTCTGACCCTGCATTTAGATGATACTCCAAAGGAAAGGCAGAGATGACAGGTACAGAGGTGACATGCACAGAAATGCACGCTCTGCACAATCCACCACTAGGATTTTTTTGTCAGGCACCAACGTTCAATACAGAACTATCAAAATTCATTACATCTTTCACATTAGGTGTCAGTAAAGCAAGGCCCAAGATAATGGTTTTCTGAAGGCTGGAAGAGTTTATCACCATGCATCCCACAACCGTCAAAATTAAGTTTCTTCTTACAATGTTTCAGATCAAAGGCCAAAACCCCAAAGCTCCCTTAAACCCATTTTCTCCTGCATTCCCAACTCACTCACTGTGCTTTGGACAGCAGTAGAGATGGTTGATAAAACTTCAAGAGCCCCAGCAATAGGGAAGGAGCTGCCATCATCAGCTGCATCAGCGTTGCTGGCAGCAGGATTCTCACTTCCTGCAGTAGAAGGCAGAAAATTAACTTCCTGACCTCCAAAAAATAAAAGATCCTGTCAGCCACAGAGTGGAGAAAATCATCAAACACCAAATATCAGCTAGGAGCAAGCCTACAATTCAGATTATGTTCCTCCCTACTTCTCAGAGGTAACAGAACTAAGCAAAACAGTATTATTTAAATGATTTTATTATCATTCTCAAGGTGCAAGGTGCAGAGTAAGGTGATGTTATTTTGGGGCTTATTATGTTGTGAAAAACATTGCAGGGCTGTTCTCATGCAGTACAAAACTGACCTCTTGCACCATCTTTAGACTCTGACGAGATTTCAGTAGGACTGGGGATCCCAAGGGTTGTTTCTGCTTTTTCTATGACATTTGAAATACCCTGACCTAGAGAAAATAAAAATCAGAACAGAAACAGGATTAGAGCTGGATATTCTTTTTTATTATTCTGGATTCCTTCTGTTCAAAACAGTTTAACCAGCATAAAAACATCCTTCTATCCACCTCACCTACCAACGTAATGAACCAAGGTTTCATCTTAGCTTTTAAATAAAGTTGTAAATATTGGCAGAATACTAGTTTAAAATACCAGGTGAAAATTACAGAAACGCCTTAAAAACCTGAAAGTAATTCTGCCTGTGCATATCTCTTTAATCTCACTGTACCTTTTGGTTCAAGCTTTTCCCATTACTTGAACAATTCTCTTGACATTTTTCCAATAATGGCTGCTATAACTGAAAACCTCTTCTCCAGAAACAAGTTCTAAAGCACCAGCTTGAGACACAAAACATGATTAAAATATTTATCAAATACCAGAAAGAGCCTTACCTACAGTAGCTACGGTAGCAGACGCAGTTGACAGAAGAGATTTCCCCCAGCTTCCCCAGTAGCCCCACCCTGTCTGAACTGCAGGAGGATCTGAGACCTTTAATGAAGAAAAACACAAGACTGATGTAGGCATCATGGTGAGGGAAGGAACACAACCAGACTGACTTGTGACTTTTGTGCAGCTTTTTCATTTCAGAGAACAGCAATGTGAATTTTCAGAAAGGAGTGAGGCTTACGCTTGGAGTTCTCCTGTGCTCAAAGCCATGAAATATGAAGTCCCATCTTTCTGAGCAAGCACAGGAACTTACCTTGATGGTTTCACCTGCAGGCTTTTCTGTGGCAGCAGAATGGCTTGGGGGCTTGGGTTCAGGTCTTTTCCGAGTCACAGGCACAGTCTCTTGTTGTTTCCCTTCACTGCTCTCAGAGCAGCCAAGTTCCTCTGTCTTCTGTTCATTTTCAGCTTTGTAAGAGGTTTCATCTTTCAGATTTTCACCACTGTCTTCCTCAGACATGACTACAAACGTCCACAGAAAGCAAAGCAAATAACATAATCCCTCCCTCGCACTTTGACATTAGATCAACAGCATCACATTGGTGTTTTAAATAATTAAACACAACGGCGTTGCCACATGTACCCACATGTGTGCACACCAAATTACGTCTGACTCAAAAATAGCATACTTGGAAGTTTAAAGTCCCACAGGGACACGTGGCTTTATCTAACTGACACACCCTCTCCACAGCAAAATAAACCAGCTTGCTAACTCTGAAAAACAAATGAAGGTACAAAAGGGCCTCAGATAACTAAATCAGATAATTAAATGAATACATGTCTCACCAAAACAAAAGTGAAAACAAATCGCTTGGGGTGGCTGGGATGGCTTGAGGAGTGTAGGAATTAAATGGGGACAGCAGTCAGAGAGCTGAGCAGGCAGGGAGGCAGCGAGTGGGTCACTCCTGTACCTGGGGAGGAGCACGAACACCCCCAGGAGCCGCGGTGAGCTCCAGCCGCCCCAGAGCCGCCCCAGAGCCGCCCCAGCCCCGCGGCCCGGGCTCGGGGAGCCGGGAGCCGGGAGCGGGGCTGTCCCGCTGGGCCCGCCTGTCACCCCGCCGGGCTCCTGTGACAGCACCTGCGGCTCAAGTGCCTTGCAGGGCAGGCAGGGACAAGCCGGGACCCCCAGGATCACACTGGGGTGACACTGCTGTGTCCCCTGTCACTGATGCAATCGGGGCAGCTGGCGGGGCCTCAAGCGAAGGAAAGTGACAGCTCCGACTGCGGGCTGGGCACCGCCACCCCATCTGCCGGGACCCCCGGGTCACCCCCGGCACCCTCCTCACCCCGCAGCCCTTCAGGCCTCCCTGTGCCTCCGCTTCGCAGGGAGACCCCCAGAGTCCCCTGACCCCCACACGGGGCTGTCCCATATGGCACCACACGTTCCCTGAGCCTCCCCGTGGGGCTCCTGCCGCACACGGAGCCCGCCAGGTGCCCGCACCGCCCCGCCGTGGCCCCGCCTGCCCCGCAGCGGTCCCCAACGCCCGTTTGCCCGCGGGGCTCGCTGTGCCCCGCAGAGCCCCGGACCCGGTGCCAGCTCTCACCGTCGGCGCTCGGCGCGGCCCCCGCAGCTCCGGGCGGACCGAGAGCAGCGAGGCCGGCGCAGAGCGGCCCCGGCGCTGCCCCGGAAGCGGCCTCGGCTCGGGGAAGCGCGTCCGGGCGGCGGGGCCGGCGGCGGCGGCGGAGCTGCGGGACGGGCCAGGCCGGGCCGGGCAGCCTCGTCCCGGTGAGAGCGGCGGTACCGCCAGGTTCACAGGGCAAGCTCGGAGTCGGAGGGCAGCGGCAGATGGGGAGGCTGCGGAGCCATGTCCCGCCTCGCTGTTTTGGCGTGGAAATAGGGGCAGTAGGGGCAGGTTTGGAGGGCAGCGAAGGCGGCGGAGGGCCTCGAGGGGAAGGCACAGGAGGAGCGGCTGAGGTCACTTCGTCTGCTCAGGCCGGAGAGCGGGAGACCGAGGGCAGAGCTCATCGGGGTCTGCAGCTCCTCACGAGGGGCAGCGGAGGGACAGCTCGGATCCCTGCTCTGTGTGATAGTGACAACACCAGGGACGGCTGGAGCTGTGACAGGGGAGGTTTGGTTGGAGATCAGGGAAAGGTTTTTTCCCAGAGGGTGCTGGGCACTGCCCGGGCTCGCCAAGGAATGGGCAGGGCCCGAGGCTGCCCGAGCTCCAGGGGCGTTTGGACCGCGCTGCCCGGCACGGGCTGGGACTGTTGGGGTGTCCTGAGCAGGGCCAGGAGTTGAACTGGATGATCCTTGTTGGTTTTCTTCCAGCTCAGAATATTCTGTTTGTGTTTCTGGCATGACATCATGCCCCAGTGACACCAGCCCGCGTGATGTCACCCCACCGTGTCCCAGTGCCCTCGGCTGCAGTGCGGTCATGGTCATGTCGCATGTCCTGTGTCCCACTGCCACCACCAGCTGGCACCAGGGCTTTTCCACCAGTGAACTGGGGCTGTGAGGACAGGGTGATGTTAAGTGGAACGTTGTGGCTGGTCGTTTTTAGCTGACAGGACAAAAAACCTGTTTTGGTTCACAGTTGATGGTGTGTCCTGGTGAGTTATGTGTGACAGACTGCCAAGGGATAAGCACAGCAAAACACCGTGTCCTGTCAGGCAACCGGGGGATGTACACGGGAAAACAACAAATCCCATCAGGCAGCAGTGGGGCTGGCCCTGGGATGCTGTGGATTTGCCTTAGGTTGGTTTTTGGGCTGTGGGTGCTGCCATTCCCCTGCAGAGCTTTGGCTGGTGCAGAGGGTGAGCCCTCCCTGCAGCCTCTCCCATGCTGGAACACCCGGAATGGCTCTTGTCAGCACCGTGCTGGATGTGTTCATAAACTTCCCAAGAGTTCCTGTCTGCAGGGCTCTGCCAAATGAATTTCCCTCTCTGACAGAGGGTCAGAGGGGGCTTGCAAATGGTATTTCTGCAAGACATCAGCAGCCTGTGCTCTGTCAGGTGTGTCTCGGTTTATTGCCTCACGTTACTCCAGGTATGAAGTGATGTTATAAGCAGTGGATGTAAAACCATATAACTTGCAACCTCTTGGGCCCCAATTTTGCAGTGCCATATAAATGTGTGTAATTTTAAGTACTATCAGTGCTTCCACTGACCTCGGTGGGACTACTTAGAGTGCTCTAAGTTAGACACAAATACACTTCTTCAGGGTAGGAGCCAAGGATGACTCATACAAGCACATGCATCACAGATTTTTATCTTTCCACTGCTATTTGTTGTTACAACTTATGGTTTAATAAAGGTTAAATGTGTTGAGTTCAGCTTCAGGTTCAGTTGTAAAATAGCCAGTTTCTATTCTGGCACATTTCATCTTGATTGAGCTTAACACTTTGTTGAAGAATTGTGATGTTGGCACTGATCACGCTTTATCCTTTTTGGGTCCTTTAACAGCTGTTTTGCATAAGTGCAGTGGATGAAGAATACGGATTTTGTAAATCATTTTATTGTTCCCAGCACTCGGCAATGAGAGATCATTGTCTGCTTAGCAATAATGGCTTTTCCAAAAGACAAACAATTTCTAATAAATCAGACCTCGAAGAATTTAATAGTAAAATTAAATGACCCATCACCAATGGTTTATGCATTATGCAGGCTCAGTGCAAGGATAGTGGAGAGCATATGCAATTACTGAAGATAATTATTCTTATGAGGGAAAATGTTGCTGAGTATTTCTTGTGTTAAATAAATGAGTGAGATTCCTAATGTCATTTAGGAACAGACGTCAGGGACGCTTGGAAACCTTAACAATTCAAATTTAATAATTTAAAATTACAATTGCACAGGCAAAGTACAAGAGGATTATTCTCTGGGATTATTCTCTAATAAATCTAAAGTATCAGTTGGGTTGTTAATGTTTTAGAAGACTGGAAGTTATAATGTGCCTGTGATTCCAGGGTGAAGATGAAGGTTTGTGTTTGCTGCAGATTTCTGATCTGTTTTAATTGCATCAGGTGCTGTGAAGTCAAATGTGATGCATGCAAAAGTGCATTTTTAGCTGAAGGCAGCTGGGGCATAGGGTGATGTCTGGGACCGCAGCACCTCGCTTGCCACCACAAGCTGTGACTGACCTTTAAAGCAACCCAAGTATCAGTGGTCCACAGACCACCACCAGTCCACAGTCTGTGTGAGGTTGCCAAAGCAAGCAGGTCAGTGTCAACAGCCTTTTGCAGGCTCTGAAAATACCAGAGGTCTAAAAATGGAAGGTAAAACCACTCCCTCAAACAGAAGAATAGTTGCTGATCAGCAGCAGCCTTAGTTGTTTTTTTTTTATTCTGACCTGTGCTGTTGCTGTGGATGGGATGCTCTTCTTCAGAGGCAGCAGGACTCAGAAATGCTTTCCCTAAAGTGTAGCTGGTGAAAAACAGGAATGAAAGAGGCCTTGGTAGTGGTTTTAACTGTTTAGCTGTGGGAAAGTGGCTCCTCCAGCACAATGGTATAATTGAGTTCTCTGCACTAGTCTCATCTTAAATGAAAGGACAAGAGGCATGATAGAAAACAGAGTGGGGCCAATGATTAAAAAAAAAAGAGAAGGCAGATGAAGGGATTGCTGTTTACAGAGAAACAAGTAGGGAGCCTGTTTTCCAGTTTCTCCTGCAGGATTCAGTGGGTGAGTTGGTTAGTCAAGCTTGAAGGAGAGTTGGACACAGCTGTCTTCTTTGCCTTCTTTGTTAAACTGGTTTTGGCAATAGCCACAACAGAAATGGAAATGGGTCAGATAACACATTTCTCATCAGATGTCAAGTCTGGAATCTGGTTTGACCTTTGACAAATTAACTTTCACTGAAAAAAAATTCCCAGTCTGGATAGCATCAGCAGAATTCCTCCTTTTGAATATGCTTAGTTTGTCTCTGATGAAAGACAATTACTAAAAATCACCTGGTTTTATGCATGTTACATTATTTTTCAGAAGTGCTTTAGATAGTGTTAACTGGTAATTCTAGAAGGATGAAAAGTGTCTGCATTATTTATTAAGTCAATGGGTCCCTTTGTGTTGTGATATTTATGAAATTCCCTTCCACTAACATCTGTTATTTGTAGAAGATAATCAATTTGAAGTCACACAGTCAATGATATGAAGTGAGATATTTTTTAGTATAATATTTGAGTTTGTGGCTTCTGACTTTGTAAATGTTTTTTTAAGGCTCTGGATCTGTCTAGATGGAATCATAACTTCAGGGAACACATATTGCATTAGAAATTTTCTTGAATTGAGCTTCCAGGAAAATTGATAACAGATTGTCTCTTATCAGTGTCATCTCATTTTGTTACAAGTTGGTTTTATTCTGGCTTGTGTACAAAAGACAGAAAATTTGTTGTATCCTAATGTCTTAAAATATCTTTTGTGCACATTAATTTGAAGAGTATCTGTCCCTAGACAAAACAATTTCTTTCACATATTTATGAAATATGGGTGGACAAGACAATGAAGAATATATGACTGCTGAGATGAAGCAGCATAAACTAAAAGATTTTCAACAGGAGCTCATTGTAAAACAAACAAGAATAACAGGGAGCAGACTTGGAAAATGCAGCAGCAACAAGAGATATTGCAAAAAAGGAAGTATGTGTAGACATCAGTGTCCTGCTGTTCAGAAAGAGACTTCCTCTTCTGGCTGTAGATACAACCAAGAGACTTTTCCCAAGTAATTAAACTATATTATATAATATTTAGACATCTAAAATCAATTGTGCCCCTAAAATCAAGTAAGTAGATGTAAATGCTAAAAATCAGGTGTGCATGTGTGCACTTTGTTTTTTCTTTGGGTAGTAAATGAAAGACTGGCTTTAGAAAACCAGGGCTTAAAAGCACTTTGATATTGGTGGAGAGGCAGGCAGAAATTACATCCTCTTTCTTGCTTTTCTTCCTCTATTAAGAAAGCACTTTTTCTCTGGTAACAAATGCAGAATCCACTTTTAAAGATAATTGTGCATTTTGAGTAGTCTGAACAATTTGTTCTTTTTCTAAAACCTTTTTACCCTTAACGATTATTGTTCCAGAGATTATTTATTTGGTTGGGAAGATGAACATCTAGTGAACTGGAGGTTGTGCTAATGCCTTCTTACCCTCATTTTATCACTGTGTTCTGAGCAAAGCTCTGATTTGAAACCTCTCAGCTGACAGTTTATATTATGATATTTGAAATCTGTTAATTGGAAATTAAATTTGAATGCATGGTAACCTTGTGGTCATTAATAAACTTGTTGCTTTTTTTTTTCTCCAGTTTTACTTCCAGTTTCCACTTCAAATATTGATGGTCTTGAAAGTGCACTTGGATCCCAGACATTTTCCATCACAGAACAAATCAAGAGCTCCTCTCCTATCTCAGAGCAATACAGACAGCTTAATATCATATGACCTCATTTCTTCAAATTAAATGAAAGAAGAATTTTCACTAGCTTTCCATGAAGCTCAGCTATTGCCTGTTAATTTTGACTGTTAGTGCTGGTCTTTCAGCTGGATTCACAGTGGAAAATGTAGCTTTTAACAGGACAGTTGCTTTTAGGCCTTTCAATGCATCACTTCATGCAGTGTCTCAAGCTTTAATAAGTTCTCCAGCACACCATGATATCATAGCCAAAGAGGGGAGCAGTGTTTTAATTGAATGTAAACTGAACATCAGCCAGTATGAACATATCCTTTGGTATAACTCCAGAGGACACCTGCTTGAACAGAAAGATGAAGGTGAGTTTTCCTGCTGTTTTCTATCCATCATTATTCCCCTTTTAAACAGTATTGGAAAACCCTGGGACTTTATTGTAATTTTCTCTTCCTATCCTCCTGTTTTTACAATTGGAAGATAAGAAGAGAGCAAAGCAAAGTCCTTTGCCCTCTGAAATGTTGCATGGGAATTACACCTGAGTACTTCTGTCCATCCTGCTTTGGTGTCCCCCAGAATGATGTTGTTCAGGAGTCATCCCAGTGTTCCACACAGAAGAAATGAGTCTTCATCTTACCCAAAACTAACTGATGAGTTTATTTATTATTGCTCTGGTTGAAATTATATTTTTCCAAATGAATGAATTAAACACAGTTCTCCACAACTTGCAACCTTTTGAGCTGGCAGTTGGTGCTTTAATTTTGTTACAGGATATGTTTTAAAACATACTTAGTACATTTATTTTTTGGTTTATGCACCAGTGAGACTGTGGAAAGTAACACAGTATGTAGTGGCCAACGATGGAATTCATGCTATTTAACCCTTTTGAACTGAAGGGGAATATATTTTCCTAGCTATTGGCTCTTACAGTTCTATCCCTGCAGTTTTTAATTTTAGAAAATGTTTTAGAGATACATGTGTTGTTCTCTATTAGTATTAATGAAGGTCATCGAACTAATTGATAGGATCTTGTTGGAGGCCATCTTTGTGCCTTAAGTATTCAGTAACCTTTTTGTAGTTATAATGCCATCTGGAGATTAGTTCAAAGTAGAGTAATTAGAAGAATAAGTTATGAAAACAGTTCAAAGCAGAGTAATTAGAAGGAATGAGTTATGAAAACAGTTTTCCCCCTAAGTTATAAATGCACAGCAAATGCTGTATAGAGCTTCTTGTATTGATTTCTCTTTTACTTGAGTTTTGCATGTCAGCACTGCATGCTCAGCAGAATACTGTCTCAAGAAAATTCTGGGTTCTTTTGCCAACAGAGCCATTTACAGACTGATCTTTTTCATGGGTCGCTGGACTTTTGACTCTGAATGTATGGAAAATTAGACTTTATAGAGGACAGTCTTTTAACAGAGGGTGAGAAGCCCTAGTTAAGAATTAGGATCCCTATCAGAAAGAACCAGAAGCAGACTGGAAAGTGCAGATGAGAGAAGGAAGTAAAAGTAGTGTAGCAAGCATGCAGAATAATTTACCATTAAGCAGTATGATGGGTAAGTGGGTTATGGCTTTCTGTGTTGCAGGCCTGAAAAGGACATTTCAGTCCTTGGTGTACTGTTACTATGCTCCAAGCAGGCTGCTCACTGCCAGGCTTTGCCTCCTGGTGATGTTTACCCTGGGATTTTTGTTTCACGAGCTCTGTTTGTTTCTTGCCCCTGTGCAGATGACCGGTGGAGGATTGCTGATAATTCCCTCAACATCACAAAGGTCAGCTTTGCCGACCGGGGCCGGTACACGTGTGCAGGCGTGAATCAGAACGAGACCTTGTACTACACAGTCACCCTGAGGGTTATTTTCACCTCAGGGGACATGAGCATCTACTACATGATCGTGTGCCTCGTTGCCTTTGCCATCACCCTCATTCTGAACATCACCCGCCTGTGCATGATGAGCAGCCACCTCCGCAAGACAGAGAAGGCCATCAACGAGTTCTTCCGCACGGAAGGGGCCGAGAAGCTGCAGAAAGCTTTCGAGATAGCCAAGCGCATCCCCATCATCACCTCCGCCAAAACACTCGAGCTGGCCAAAGTCACTCAGTTCAAGACCATGGAGTTCGCTCGCTACATCGAAGAGCTCGCCAGGAGCATTCCCCTCCCTCCTCTGATCCTTAACTGCAGGGCCTTCATGGAGGAGATCTTCGAGGCCGTGCGGGTGGAGGACCCCGACGAGGTGGGCAGGGAGGAGAAGCAGCCCGGGGGCTGTGGGGCGCCGGCCGCGCTCTTCCCCGGCAGCGCCCCCGTCAAGCGCAGCCACTCCCCGGCCGCAGACTCGGACGACGGCTCCCTGAGCGAGCAGGGCCAGGAGATCGCCGTGCAGGTGTCCATCCACCCCCAGAGCCAGGGCCACAGCATCGACACCGTGTCCCACGGCAGCTGCCACTCTGTGCCTGCTGAGGAGGGCGCCTGCTGAGCCACAGCTCGGGCTCTGTGAGAAAAGGGTCTGCAAACAAGCTGCCTCATCCCAGGTGCACAAGAGTTTTCCAAGTTGCGAGGTGCCAGCAGTAGTTTGAAGTGTGTATTTTCTGTCTGTGTTGATTAAAACAATTCCAGTCTGCTAGAAAAGGCTGTTTGGAATATTGTGTGAGGGCTTTTCTTTCTAGAGGAGGCTTGCTATATTTAAAATAGTTACAAAACAGGAATTCTTTGTCCTTGGCTCCTTGGTAGCTTTTGATACTTCAGATCCGTGTGAGAAGGGACCAAGCTGAGCAGTACAACTTGCAATAAGAACTTTTCCTTTGTGAGCTCCTTCTTTATTCACCAAGTTGAGCTGAAATTCCTTTGAGTCAGTGGTGTTGTCCTGATGAATTGAGTTCTGTGCTCTTTTTGAGTTGCCTCTTGGTGTGTGTAGCCCATCAGAACCACGGTGAGCTTGAACAAATCTGTTTCGTGTCACATGCTTGTGTTGCTATCAAAATGTACTGTACTTAGAAAAGAATAGTGCCAGGATCTGCTGCTGGATTAAATGAATTGTTGTAGTTTCAAAGCAGCTTAAAGAACAGCCAGGAGGTCTCAAGTTTTCTGTACATCTGCAGGAAATTTGTGGGTATTTTAAAAGCTTGTTGCTTAAACTTGGTGCTGATTGCCAAAGCGCCTTACCCTGGTCCTGTCCCACAGAATGGTGCAGTGACAGCACTTCTGGCACTGCCTGGCTTTCCATTGTGCTGATTTCACTCTCACTATAGAAAATCCAAAGTTTTATATTGTATTTGATGTTGTGGTGAGAAAAGGATGACAGTAATCACATCGTGGCAAAACAGAAATGAATTCATCATCTACAGACAGGTGTCTGAGGCTCATCTTCCTGAACAGCATTGTCATACAGCAGGTGAAAAGCAGTGACACTGAGTGGCTCTGCTCTGGCTGGTGCTGTCAGCAGGCAGTGGCAGAGGAGTGGGGCTGGCTGAGCTCTTTGCCAGCCCCTGTTGGCAGCAGGGGAGTGACTCACTGGTGGAGCCCAGCCTGGGCGCTGCAGAGGTGCCAGAAGGGAGCTGCAGCTGCTGACATATGTGCACAAATCCTTCACCAAGGATCTCCCACCTGGCTTCCTCAGCTGTAGAGATCCAGCCTCCAGGAATCAGAGTGCAGACAAGAATCTACTTTCTTCTTCCACTCTTTGGTGCTGTTTTTTTTTTTTTTTCTCCTTAACATTTGTATCACTTAAATAGCATTTTATATCCTGTTGAGATTTAGTAGATGTAAAGCTTGTAAGCACTCCACATATTAATTTCTTACAACTACTGGAAGCATATTGCCATATAATTTTAACAGCTTGGCAACAGGAGTGCCATTTAATTTCACACAACTCTTTTTTCTTTCCTTATTATTACAGAAATGTCAGTTGAACAAGTGATTCTGGAGGGCTGCTCAGGATTCTTAAGAGGATTTGACATTACATTTACATGAGTAGAGGTGGAAAACAAGCAGACACAGTGGTAATGGCAGGGTGGGGCAGTCTGTGGTAATGCATGCTCAGGAAGAAGGGGCTGCATGAATTACAGTAACCATATCAGAGACAGGGAAATGACAGCATCTCTTACCATTTTAAACTACCTTCTGGGGAAATTCCTGCAGTCAGCCACCAGGTAAATCACCCTAGTTGCCTTTGGCCTGTCAGGTAAGAGTAGTGTTAGTCAGGAAGGAAATTGCTAGCCTTTATTACAGTAACATTCCCACCAGCTTGGTGCCATTTCCAAAACTGTAGCAAACTTTGTCTGTTTCAGGGGAATAAACCTGAGAGCTGCCTCAACAGTGACTTCTTTTTTTGCTTCCATAGTTTGATGGCACTTTATGTCCAGGTGAAAATTTTGTATAGTTTTGTGTAACCTGTTTGGCTTCTTTTTTGAGGTTATCAGTGTTAAAAGATACTCTGTGGATAAATATCTATTTCTCTTGGAAGAAGGAAGCTGCTGGCTTCACTTCTGTGCTGCAATGGGTTCTGCAGGTTTGTTGCACACGTGTGAGGGGAGATTTGAGAGTTTGCAACCCACTGGTTGAAAGAGGTGAAGGCTACAAAAGAAAATTATTTGCTTTAATCTCCTTTGTGCCACAGGCCATCAGAATGTACCTGCACCTGCCTTATTTCCCTATAAACAGCTCTCCTTGCTTCTCTGGAGCTGTTGCAGAATGTGCAACATACGGATGTGTTACCCCTAAATAAAACCACAGTGAGAGATGCCACTGCAAAATCTAAACAATTTAATTGCTTCCCAAGAAGCAGTTATGATTGACAGATGTCACATCAGAAGTGGCAGCAGAATGACACTGGAGGTGTGTCAGATGAGTGACAGGACAGAGCTGTTTCAAGACAGATTTGATCTCTTTTTTGATTTTTATACTTTATTTACACAGCTCCAAGTTCTTGCCAAGCACATTTAGTGCTGGTGTCTTCATACATCCTCTTGCTGGTTGAAAGAGTGACCATGCATAAAGGTCCTCAGAAATGCAGTTGCAATGTCAATTGCTGCATAGCAAAGCTGAGAGTTTTCCTGAATTACTGCAGTATTTTGTTCCTTACATGAATTTCATTCCTGGGAAGGAGGTTGTTTTGTAAGGATTTCAGTATATCAGGAGCACCCTCTGAATGGAGGAACTGATCCTACTCCCACTGAATTCAATTAGAGAGGATTTGGAGCTCTGTGCATTTTACAGGATTTTTATGTATCTGAAAGCAAGGACGAAGGTGATGTTAAATGGTAAAAGTGATTTCCAGATAATGAAATTTGACACCAGTTTCCAAACAACTTGTGAACTATTCTTGTTACCCTGAGAGTAGATGTGTGCACTTAATGTCTTTGATGAATCTAATTGAACATTAACATGGAAAGTGTTTCTCTCTTAACTTTTTGTAGGATGAGGAGAATCTACAGTGGTTTCCTTGCTTTAAACTAAAGTCTCTGACAATCAGAAGGCTATTCTATCTGTGACTTATTTTAAAAAATATAAAATCTACTTGTTATCCAAGAGTACCCAAAACTAACTTTGTAGTGATTATTTGTATTACCTGGATTGTAATGTAACTGTTTAATGTAACCACATAGGATTTCATACTTTCATAAAATGAATTGGTAGATTTGCAAAATAAATTGAAAAGAAAAACCTTGTTCTGCTGGAATTTTCTGTTTTACAAGTGAGGAGTGCCTGTCTCTCTGAGGTTATGTAGCAGCTGCATTGAGCTCAGCAGAATGTTGTTAATCAGCCTGACAGAGGTTATTGGGATATTCACTCATCTGAAGGACCATTCCTGCTATAACATCTTTGAATCTTTTATTTTTTTTTTTTTGTCTCACAGTCTTCAACAGCATCTAATAATTGTTCCCAGCTGCATATACAAACAGGTACAGGCCTGAAATGGTTTCAGGAAGGCCCTCAAACCTTTACTTCTTTGTGTGTGTGACGTTCAACCATTAATCTGTTTTATTTGTTCACCTTTTTCACATGCTGGTACTATTCTATATTGTAAGCACCTTTCTTTTTGTAATCCCTCACCCCGAACACCAAAAAGCCACCTTGCTGAGAAGGCCTCTGTAGTGCCTTCCTTGTGGTGTGCAAGTGTGAGTGAGGGCAGAATTCACCCAGATTGCTTTTAAAGAAGAGTCTCTGTTGCCAGTCTCTGCACAGGGCAGATAATGGCATTACAGCTGAATATTTGGGGATTTTCCCATGACAATCAGCTGCCTAAAGGAAGAATTATTGGACCCATACTCCTCAGGCTAGGTCAATACCCAGTCAGCATCTGCTTTCTATCTCCTTGTTGTGAGAGATGCATTAATGATAACAGTTCAGTTTTTTAAAGCTCCTGTAACCTGATCCCTCATGATCCTATCCACAGTGAACAAATTCATCTGCATCCATTTAGAGCACTTTTCCATCTGGTAACAACAGATCATTGAAAAGGGAGCTGCATTAAGGATGATTGTACTTTAATTTTAGGTGCACGCCTTAAAAAATACATTTTTTTCTTAATGTTACAGCACTTCTGTGAGTGAAGTCTCCAGCTGGAGACACCACAGTGTCATTCAGCTCAGGCAAGTTACAGCTTTATCGACTTCCCTTCAGCCAGGTCATTTCACACCAGCTGAGTCTCTTTCCTCTCCTCTTTTTTTAATTGGATAGCAGCTCATTCAGATGTCTCCAAACACTGCCAGCTTTTTTGCATGTGGAAGTGAGAGTTACACCATCATTCAAAAAAAAAATCGTTCTGCTAGATGCTGAAATATCAAAAAAGCCCTAAAAGCTGGGAAGTTGTTCTTTATCCCTGGTAAAGCAGTACCTCTTCTTTGGTCATGCCTGGCTGCCAATGAGCACAGTAATGCTGAGCAATTAGGCCTTTCATTTGCGTTAGGCTAATTAATTGTTTGCACAGTGCCCTGAATATGGAATCATTTTCCTTTTGGAAAGAATAAAAGGATTAGAATGGCTTTATCCCAAGTTGCTCTGAACGTCTTTTATTTATTTAATGGGAGAAAAATGCTCTGTTGCCCCAAACTCAAACCACCCACTCGAGCGTTACGGCTGCTCGGGGACGTCTCCGGCAGTGGGGATGTGAGCACATGCACATCTGTCCATCCAGATGGGACCTGGGGGTCCTGCTGCACGGCAAGGAGTGTGCAGAGGCTGGAGCCACGTCTGTGTGCTGCAGGGGTGGGATGGCAGCGCTGCCAGGGGCTGCAGAGGGATGAGCATCCCTGCATTCGGCTGCCTGCAGCAGCACGGTCACTGCGAGCTGTGGTGGCGCTGGGAGGGCAGAGCTCTGTCACTGGGCACTCTCTGAACAGGTTTGTACTGAGGGAGCCCAAGCAAAGGGAAGCTGGGCTAGGATTTCATGGAGGAGGGACCCAGTGGACACAATATTGCAGAGGCTATTGCCATCTCTTCTGTGTGTTTGTCCTCTTCAGTGCCTCTTTGTGCTACCGTGTTATTAAGGATATATTTCATGTTAAATGGTTCTACAAACGTGCAAAAAGGCATTTCAGTGGAAAGTGAAGGAAATACTCAGCTCTAAGTGCAAGGCAGAGGCTGCCATCCCACAAACATCCCCTGAAGGGGTTGGAGATAACTGGCTGCAGTTCCTCCTGCCTTCCTATAAGGAGAGCTCCCTGCTCCCTATAAGACTGTTATGGGCCATCTGCAAGAGCTGAAAGTGAAAATTCTGTCCCGCCCTACTTTCTGTTCCTCTAAAGATCAGGGCACTGAGAACAGCCCTGGGTCTGCAGGGAGCATGAGAGGCCACCTAGGCTGTGTTCTCAGCCACAGATGTCCATCCTGGCTGTAAAACAGCTGCTGGCAGAGACGTCGCATCTCCCAGGCAATCTGTTCTCCTGCTAAACCCTCCAGACTACTGGAAAGGTTTCCCTAATATCTGCCACAAAGCATCTCTTAATGCATCACCCATCTCATCCTTTCCATGCCCACTGCTGCTACATCTGCAGCCCAAATCAGGGCCGCCCCAAACAGGCAGAACAGGAACTGGAGGGCAACACAAATCGTGCTTGGCTCCATGTGCCTGCCTTGCCTGGAGAGATCCTTCTGTGTTTGGCCTAAGCTGGCAGAATTTAACTGAAGTCAAACTCCTTTTGTTTATGTAATGCCTGGATATCTGAGTGATGCTTTCTGGGCTTTGGACATTCTTGCTGTCTGTGCTGGGTGATGGAAATGTCCCTGACATCAGAGCTGCTCATATCAAAGGAGTAGCTCTGTTGTTCTGGGTGCAGCAGTCTCATGATAGCTTTGCATTTGTACATGGTAGGGGAATGGAAAGCAGCCACTGCAAAGCACATGAGCCTGTCCCACCATTATCTCAAGAGATTTTCAGCATTTCACTCACTTTCTCTCCTGGATGTCTTTACTTTAGTGCATGAAAGTATTCAGAAGTATCTTGCCTGGTCAATGGGAGAATCCTAAGTTTTCTTCCCTTAATTTTTCTTTTCTCTTGGGAGTTTTTCTCAAGCTTAACTCTCCTAAATAATGACTAGGGAGGGAGACAGTGGACCAGAACAGACATGAAAAAGTTTGGACAACTGTCCTAAATCAGAGGACAGGTTTGCTTTGGAAATCCTATATGCATCACACTCTGTTACAGAAAGTTGGCCTTAACAGCAAATCTCTTGCAGCAGGGTGTCACTTCACTTCCACAGATTACTTGAAATGCTTTATTAATTCGATGACCTTGTGGGCTCTCAGAAAAAGCCATTTCTCAGTGTTTTGGTGAAAGAGAACTTCCCTGAGCTAAAGGGACTGTTTTGTTGCTCAGATTTATTGCTTGGCTGACTTAATTCACCATTCAAACACGATGATTTTTAGCTGCTGGGCAGTGGGCCTTGCAATGTTGAAACTAATTAACTGCTAGAACTCTTCTGAGCAAGGCTGTTTTCTTACTGGGTTTTGGGGCTTTTTTATTTAATCCACAGAAATAAAGCAAACACCATCCTTGGAGCACAGGGCTGCACGGATGTGGTGTCAGCACAGGCACAGCCCCGTGCTGGATGAGGCTGTGTCACAAAGGAAGAAAGGCTGCCAGCTGTCCCTGCTGCCAGCTGTCCCCATGGCTGGTGTGACAGCACACAAAGGTGAGAGGAGAAAAGAGACAACATCTGAAGACAGAAGACAGGAGGGATGCCATAGCTGTGACAAAGGGAGAGCTCAGAGAGCAGCAAGAGAGGTCTGCCCAGCTCTGGATCCACAGCCTGGATCAAAAACCTGAGCTGTGGGTCTGGCTGGCTGGCCAAGGTCAGTGGCTCTGCAGCTGGGACTCCTCACAGCTCTCTCCCCTTCCTCATCTCCACCACTGCTGTTGCACACTGTATTTCTGAAAGAGCCTTGAACCTCGTAGCTCAGATAGATCTAAAGAGCTGCAGTTCCTGCCAGCAGGAGCTCATCAAAGCCTTGAGAGAGAGGACAAGGAAGGGAAGAATGCACCTGGCTGCAGGAATTCACCAGTTGTAATCCCATCAGGGACTTCTGCTCATCAAAATACTTTCTGGGAAAAGTTTATAACCCTGCAATATTTCCTGGTGATGTCTAAAGATGGCATGAAAAAGTCTAGAAGCTCAAGCAGAGACAAATTCAGTGTCTGTGTGTTCCTTCCTACCATGTTTTTGCAAAGCACTTCTGCCCTGCTCCTTGCTGTGAGTCCACAGTGCAAGTGGAATATAAATGGTCTCTGCTCACTGCAAGCAGGGAATCCCTCACTGGCTCCAGGGGGCTCCCCATCTGTCTTTGTTCCTGACAGTTTGATCACCTTTATCATCATTTTTAAATGCAGACCTGCAAATACCATTAGTGCTCATAGAGAATGGCAGCTCTCTTGACATGCCTCAACCAGAGTGACCTTCCTCCAGTGGCAGCAGGGAGCTCAGGCCAGCTCCTCTTCCTCCTCTGAGTTTGGGCTGGCAGTGTCAGCCCCAACTGCCAATTCACCTCTGTCTCATTGTCTTCTTCCCTGCATCTCAGCTCCAACGTTTCCAGGATTTCCATCCTTGGAGCAGCACCCCTGGGTGTGTGATCAAGGCAATTTTATGTCACTTTGATCAGTGATCCAGGGCCAGGATCTGGGCTGGCAGTGGCAGGAAGGGCAGCACCTTGCTGGGGACCAGGGAAATGTGGATAACAAAGGGGATGGGATGGGATGGGATGGGATGGGATGGGATGGGATGGGATGGGATGGGATGGGATGGGATGGGATGGGATGGGATGCTGTGTGTTCCCCTCCGTGCCGTTGTTGGGTGATGGGCACAGGGCAGGGCCGGGCAGGAGCTGCTCGCCTGGAGCCCCGCGAAGCCCCGCTAGAGGCAGCTCTTGGTTTGCTGTGAGCACGGAGCAGCACCGAGCGCTGTGCCCGAGCCATGGGGCTGCTCCTGCCGGCCCTTCCTCCGCCGGGGAGCTGCAGCCGGGGCCAGAGCGCACCGGGATCCTGCAGCACCCTGTTCTCCACATACAGAGGGTTAAACACCCTCCCAGCCGCTGTTCTGCACATTCACTGTGTTGAACACCCTCCCAGCCGCTGCTCTCCACATACAGAGGGTTAAAGCCCCGGTGGGCAAAGGAATCCCCGTGGGATTAGCCTGGACCCAAAGGAGAAGGGGTTGCAGGGACATGGGGGGCTCAGGGGGCTGAAGTGGGCACCTGTGAGCAGAGATATACGAAATACAAGGTTGGAATTTGAGGTGTGTGCCCCCCTCCTGCCCGCACCGAGAGCAATCCCCACCCTGGCATCCTGCAGCCGGCAAGGAACGGATTTGATTTGTCCTTTTTCCCTCTGTAGATTAACAGGTCCAGCTCTGACTGAAGTATTTAGTTATCATAGAGACTTAATTGCAAAACATTTCCTGGCCATGGCCGGGGTGCCCGCCTTGGCTCGCTGGGTGTTCCCTGGCACAGCACAGCCTGGCATGGCACAGGGAGGGACAGCCACAGCCCGGACAGACAGACAATACCTGCAGTGGTGCCCCTGCTTGCTCCGTGCCCTGTGGGGCTCTGGAGAGGCCGGATCTGCTCTCCCACCCTCCCCTTGGCACAGGCAGCACTGGCAGTGCCAGCTGCCAGCGAGTCCCTGGGGCCACCCACCCCTCTCTGAGCCCACTGAGTTCATCCTGGGTGAATTCCAGCCTTGCTCTTCTCATTTCAGAGCTGCAGGAGACGCGGCTTATGGTCACCTTAAAGGAATAAACGACGCATAAAAATATTTGATCAATTAAGCCAAATGATTTGGCAGGCGACGGCTCCCGCTGTACCCATCCTCCTCACAATTGTCTCATTATCCAGCCCTAAATCAAGCTGTCACAGCTTTTTTTTGGCTTGGAGGGGAGAGGGAGGGAAAGAAGCTGCTTTCCAGTGCTCACCTCCAGGAGAGAAAGGCTGAGCAGAGAGCGGGTCACTGAGTCACGAAGAGCATCCTCTGCCCTACCTGGGGCTGGAGCAGGGGACGCTGCTCCTTGATAATGAGATTGAGGGGCTGGGGGAGTGAGGCAGAGTGGAAATTTTCCAGAGTAGAAATCCATTTTGATTTAGGTGAAATGTACATTTTTGAGTTGAGTCTGTGGTTAGAAAATATAGCTATGTAGCTTGACTGCAAAAGCCTGGGCTCAGAGAAACTGCTTCAGTGAAAGACAGAGATGAAGGGGGGGAGACAGAAGGTGATAGAGAGAGACAGAGACTGCTGTGAGAGCAGGTCAACCTGACCTAGGAATTCTTTCTGATAAAGAAGAACTAGCTGCAAATGCCACGCAAAATTCATAAAAATGAATCTGTATGAACCTATTGTGAAATTGCATGCACATGTGTTTGAGAGGGGGATAAAAAGTGACCTGAAGTTCCCAGAGGTAAGCATGTCATTTTAGGGGAAGGATTCCCACATGCGTCCAGTGCTGTAATAAACATACTGGCTTTACAAGTCTTTCCCCAAGTCTGCTAAAATAATTAGTGTA